CTACGAAGTCGTGGGCTGAGTACAGTGCGAGCTCGAGAGACTGTGGACTCCGAGGAGTCCAGGGTGAAACGCCTCTCTGCTCGCCTCTCGCTCGCTCTTCCGTTCGAACGCATGAGATGCTGCTGAGGGGGCATGAACCTCCAGGCGCTGTACTGTTACTGAACCTTGGGCCGTCTTGGGCCGCCTCAAGAGATTCAGGAAGGGCAGGGGCAGGGTACGTTGGGAAGGGAGGGGGCAGGGGGCGGGAGGAGTCCAGCGAGGCTGGTGCCTTGTACTTTCAGGTCCTGTGTGGGCGACCCCCAAGACGCAGGGATGCATGGTGTCAAGCAAAAAAGCCCGCCAGCTTTTGGAGATGTCCGATCTATCTCGCTCTGAACGGATCTTCGTCTGCCTTCGTCGACGTCTTCCGGTTGGAATAAGAATTGTACAGCACCAGCGACCGAGCTGGAGATAATCAAGGTACTCCGTCCCCCCCGACCTTGACATTGGCAAGTGGTGCGTTCGGGACGGGAGTCGTGTGAAGTGGCTCCCCAGCGCTTGTTGCAAAGCTCTCTCCTTCAACGGTGCCAGACCTGCCTGCACCACTCGCCGCCGGCATCCCAAGCCCCCCGGCCGCGGCCCTGGGGCGCACCCCTCGCCGCGGCCCGCCGAGGTTCGCCGAGCGCCGGCTGGCCAAGCGCGTGGCGCTGACGCGGGGGGCTCGGCGGTCGGGGCCATCATGACCTTGTCATTCTCTGTCTGTGTCTCCCCTCTCTATCTCTCTCTCGTTTCTCCCTCTCTCTCTGCCTCTCTCTCCCTCTCCCTCTCTCTCTCTCTCTTTCTCCCCATCTATCTCTCTCTCTCTCTCTCCATGTTTTGTTTTTTCCCCACATCCTAAGTAGGGTTCTTGCTTTCTCCGGACACCCCGCGCAGTCCTGTCACCTCACCCCCTCTCCTCTTCTGCCTTCGCACGTTCACTCGCTCGATCACTCACGTATCATCATCATCATCATCATCATCATCATCATCATCATCATCATCATCATCATCATCATCATCGTCATCATCATCATCATCAGCATCATTATCATAACACCTTCAGCTTCTTCTCCCTTCGCATACTCATTCACTCAATCATTCGCACCATCGTCATCAGTCACTTTCTCACCACACACGATCGCACCATCACGCACTCAATCACTCACACACCATCATCAACCCTGGCCTCATCATCATCATCATCATCGTCATCATCATCATCACCATCATCATCTCAATCATCATCTCAATCATCATCTCAATCATCATGTCAATCATCACCTCCATTATCATCATCATCATCATCATCATCATCATCATCATCATCATCATCATCATCATCATCGAGAGGCCATGCGACGACCCCCTATACGACCACATCGTGACACCCATCGTGGCATGTGCCAAGGGGGTGCAGCTGGCGCTGGATGCCGACAGGCGGGCCCTCGGCTCCGCCTTCGCGGCGGCCCGCGGCCGCCTGGCCTCAGCGGGGACCGAGGGCCTGGTGGCGAGGGGCCCCGCAGCGGCCACGGTCCTTGCCGCCCTATGTCTGGGCGGGAGGGCCGACCACATCAGGCGCTGGACGGACGACCTGCAGCGCCCCATCGACCTTGGGGCCATCGACAAGCACGCCCTCGGCCGAGAGGTCCAGGCCGCCTTCATCAGGAAGCTCTGGCGGGACGCCGCCGTGAGGGGCCTGCGCCGCAGACTCTGCAGGGCGCAGGGCAGCCCAGCATGGACGGCACGCTGGTTCTCGGCCAGGAATGCCGTCGTCGGCTGCCTCTGGCCTGTGCAGCGGCGTTCCGAGGCCTCCCCGCCGCTGGCGAGCTCAGGGCGCTGCCCTGTGGACTGCGAGGCGAAGGGGACCCTCAGGCCCCTGGCTTGGGCCTGCCCCGCGCTGGACGGCATGCGCAGGCAGTGGAAGGTAGACGACCCGAACCCGACCACTTCCTGAGCTCTGGGGGCACTCACGACGCCGGCGACGAGCACGCCCTGTGGTCGAGGTGCCCAGTGCGACCACCCCCCGCCGCTCGCCGTGCGCATGGTCCGCACAGTCGGGCCAAGAGCTGGAGAACCCCTACATGGCGAGGTGTTCTTGGACGGCTCCGCCTCCAGGGTCCAGGACCACATCATGGCGCGCGCGGGCTGGGCAGCTTGCGCCACCGACCCCACGGGCGCTGAGCTCTCCAGCATCTACGGCCCAGTGCCGTGGCCCTGGCCCCAGGAGTCGGGAGCAGGCGAGTTGCTGGCCGCGGCTGAGGCGCTGGCGCATGCTTTGCCCCCAGTCAATTTGTTCAGTGACTTGCTTGTCGGTTGGGAGGGTGGCGAGGAGTGGTCCACAGGATGTAACAGACCACACCGTGAGATCTGGCAGTTTTCCTGGCGTCGCGCGGGCGACGTTGGCTGTGAGCATATCCAGATAACCAAAGTGAAAGGACACGCTTCCATGAATGAGGTGCACCGTGGCGTCATCACTCTCTGGCAGCGTCAAGGTAACAGTTGTGCAGATGCCCGTGCAAAAGAAGGCGCGAGTTGTCACCCCTTTTGGCCCGCGCCCGCTGGAGCTGCCGCTATCGCCGATGAGTTGGGAATGAGCTTGGGTCGGTGGGCTGGGACGGCGGCGCAGGAGGGAGATTGTTGGCTCAGGGCCGAGGACGGGTTCAACCCTCCTGGCCTGGCCGCCACCAGGTGCCAGATTGCAAGCAGAGGAGCCACGCGTCGTGTGATGCATGTGCGGCCAGGCCACGCCAGCGACACGGCTCCACCATTGTGTCAGATTCCGGGGTTGTCTCCTGGAGTTACTTCGCCTGCTCCTCCCGAGGCACCCCGATCCCAGCCAGTGTTTGCCCGCCGCCCTCTGGAGGGGAGGGTCAGGCGGGGAGGCCAGGCTTCGCCGTCGCGGCGCTGATGGCAGGAGCTGCCGCCGCGGCCGCGAGCGGGGGAGGGGGGGGCAGGAGTGAGGAGGAGCAGCAGCCTGTGCAGAAGCAGCAGCAGCAGGCCCCAAAGGGCGGAGGCACCAGCAACAGCATTGGACCACCAGGGGGGCAACCGAGTTCGGCTGCCAGTCTCTGGGAAGAGTTCCCCCCCTGGTGGCAACTACGTTTCGACCGTTCACACGCGTTGTGCCGCCCGGGGGGGGGGGGGGTCGCGTGGCCCACACGTCGTCCACGCGAGCGAAGGGCCTAGTCGAGCCGTGCCTAGGTCACCCCCCTCAGAGAGAGTTAAGGAGCTTTCGAAGAGAATGACGCGAGGGCTCCACCCATCAAAAGTGGAGCACAGGCCGATTTCGGCCCGCCTCCCCCGCTCCGCGACCGCTCGCGATCGCCAGGCCGAGGCACCCCGACGTAATCTAGTTTGAGGTGGGCGACTGGGATTCGGTGGCGACCCTCCTTGTTGGAGCCGGATCATCATCACCATCATCATCATCATCATCATCATCATCATCATCATCATCATCATCAGCATCATCACTCACATCATCATGATCATCACTCGCATGTGTGTCGTCTCGGGCGGGAGCCTCGTGTGTGAGTGAGTTGCGAGGGAGTTTCAGGCGTGAGCCCCCTCCCGATGGGGCCCGCACTTCATGTTCGAATCCGAGGCGGGTCATCGGCCTCCTGTAAGTGTCGTCACTTTTGGGCGCCTGAGGCCTGAATACGGAGGAAGTATATGGCGGGAGACTTGTCTGTGAGTGAATTGCGAGAAAGTCTCAGGCGGGAACCCCCTCTCCATGGGGCCCGCACTTCATGTTCTAATCCGAGGCGGGTCATCGGTTCCCTGTAACCGTCGTCTTTTTGGGGCTCCTGAAACCTGATTATAGAGGAAGTATACGGCGGGAGCCTCGTCTATGAGTGAATTGCGAGGAAGTCTCAGGCCGCAGCCCCCTCCCTATGAGGCCAGCACCTCACGTGCTTTCTCCGTGTCGTCCGCTGGTGCGCGTTTCCTTTGGGTCGTCCTCCGGCGCGTAGCGGGCACGTCTTGCGTTTGTTCCAGGTCGTTTTCCGCACGAGGAGGAGGAGGAGGAGGAGGAGGAGGAGGAGGAGGAGGAGGAGGAGGAGGAGCAGGAGCAGGAGCAGGAGGAGGAGGAGGAGGAGGAAGAGGAAGAAGAGGAGGAAGAAGAAGAAGACGAACAATAACAATAATAACAATAATAATAATAATAATAATATGAGGAAGAATAATAGTAAGAAGAAGAAGAAGAAACAGAAGAATGAGAAAACGAAGAAGAACAATAATAATACTAATAATAAGAATATTAATAAGAAGAGGAGGAGGAGGAGGATGAGGAGGAGGAGGAGGAGGAGGAGGAGGAGGAGGAGGAGGAGGAGGAGGAGGAGGACGAGGACGAGAACGAGGACGGGGACGAGGACGAGGACGACGAGGAACCGCACCCACTTGCGCGGCGGGCCGTCTGTCTCGGCGCGCCGCCCGAACGAGGACGACGAGGAAGACGAGGACGAGGACGAGGACGACGACGAGGTTGAGGACGAGGACGAGGACGAGGACGTGAACGAGGAAGAGGACGAGGACGAGGACGAGGACGAGGAGGAGGGGGATGATGATGATGATGATGATGATGATGATGATGATGATGATGATGCTGATGCTGATGATGATGATGATGATGATGATGATGATGATGATGATGGTGGTGGTGGTGGTGGGTGGTGGGTGGTGGTGGTGGTGGTGGTGGTGGTGTGGTGGTGGTGGGTGGTGTGATGATGATGATGATGATGATGATGATGATGATGAATGATGATGATGATGATGTGATGCTGATGATGATGATGATGATGATATGATGATGATGATATGATTGATGATGATGATGATGATGATGATGATGATGATGATGATGATGATGATGATGATGATGATGACGATGATGATGCTGATGATGATGATGATGATGATAGTGATGATGATGATGATGATGATGATGATGAGATGATGATGATGATGATGATGAGATGATGATGATG